TTTGTGTATAGCACAAAAACAGTATAGTAGATATTTAGATATTGAGAAGTTTCCAGCACAAACACCATTGTAGAATAACTGACCCCAAACCCAAACCTGCTCAAATAGATTAGCTCTTGTAAGGATAATAATAATTTGATTAATGATGTTCATTCATCCCAAACTGCCTGACAATAATATCTTTAGATAATAAAAAGTAATAAATCACTGACCACTATAGAAGTGTAAATGTTGACCATTTGCCTTACTGTGTTCACGGTTTTATTCCTGAGAATGAGAATAGACATGGAACAAAATCCCACAAGCACAAAGCCACTGATAATGAGAGTATAAACCACAGAGAGATTTATTAGATTAAAATGTATGTTTAAGAATATGGCTCAAAGCAAATATGCAAACATATTTGTAAATAGATTAGAATAGTTTTAAACTATAGTGATAGTAAAAGTAAAGTACACAATCTAAGATTAAAAAGTGAAAATAATACAGTGAAATAAGATTGAGTGTAGTGTAAACAATTAGCATTAGAATAAAAGTATAGAGTAAGAAAAGTTAAATTAGCTTCAAATTTGAGACTCAGCTCGTTTTTTGTCTGTGTTTTGACTGAATCTGCTGAGTTCTTGTGTGTCCAATAGTGTTTGTTTGTTTTTATTTTAGATTTGTTTTTTTGTTTGTTTATTTACTTTATTTTTGTTTGTTTTGTTTTTTCCCAGGATAGAGGATAAAATCCACTGATATTGATTGGATGATTATGAGTTTAATGCATACATTTTCTTTGTTTTTAATAAGTTTTTAAAGTTTTTTTTAGGATTTTTTTTTTTCTTTTTCCACTTTATTGATTGATCGATTTGAGTGATCACATGTGATTATGTGATCAAAGGGGAGGGTATTAGTATTAGATAGCAATATGGCCTACGTGCAGGACTGTACAAGGACTCTACAAGGACTCCATGTTATGACTATGATTTGACTGTCTCTTTGTGACACGTATGTCTTTCGATGTGTGACGTGACAATGACTATATAAACTGTGTACTGCCTTTATTCTGTCTGAGAGAAAGAAACAGAGTAAACCAGTGGAACTTGAGAGAAACTTAAATAAACTTCCAGAGTTTGGCACACCACGATCCGTCTCTGTCTGTTAAATCCTGACACTGTCTTCTTGTTCGGAGTGAAATTATGAATGATTTATTAGCATTTTCCAACAACAAGAAATATATTAGTCCAGTGGATTTATGCTTGATTTGCTTGGTTCGGACAGTGCATCACCTCTGCACTGGATTAGTGTGAAACCGTTAATTCTGAATTTCAGTCAAATTCAGAGCAATTTAGAACTTGCTGCCATTTCCAGTTACTGGCCAGGTGCTAAAAGTACATCGTTTTCCGTCGCCGTCTCGACACTTTGTCCTTCGAATCAGGAGCAGGGACGTTTTTGCGAATTGTTTTGCAGCGTGTCCTTCTGAACAAGGCCTAAAGTCTGATTCTGATCATGTCGATGATTTTGGCTTGAATGGGCTTTTAAACAATATTTCACCAGCTCATAAGTAGAAGTAGTAGAAGGAGTATTTTCAGTTTCATATTTGTGGTTTGAGAAATGTTCATCTTCTTGATGAGGAAGCTGATGGTCGGCTCCCACTTGAGGTCCTGGGTGTTGGTGGTGCCCAGGAAACGAAAGGACTCCACCGAGGTGATGGGGGAGTCCATCAGGGAGGGCGGGGGCGGGAGGACTGGGCTTTTCCTGAAGTCCACAATCCTCTCCACTGTCTTCTGGGCGTTCAGCTCCAGGTTGTTACCACTGCACCAGGACACCAGCCGGTCCACCTCCCTCCTGTATAGGCTGTGAGATTTCATAACACTTTGAAGCAACTGTGGTTAAAATTCAAACTGGTCATTCTAACATTTGCAGGAGCCAGTACTATTCAGTTGTTTTGTCTATCTGAAGGCCAAGCTACAGGGCACCGTGGCAGCTGCTGATTGGAGGACTGCATTCCTCCATGCTGTATATTACCACTTATCTTACATCCTTGTTCGTGCTCGTGTTCATGCTCTACCATCAACAATAAATCATGTCTTCTGTCTGAATTAAAGACACGATCCCAGACTTTGTCATCGTCTTTCATTTGGCCCTCAGTGTTTTTATAGACCAGTGGTTCTCAAAGTGGGGTACACGGGCTCCCTTTAGGGGTACGCCAAAGAATCACTGAAAAAAATATATATATATCTTTTTAATATATCTTTATATATATATATATATATATATATATATATATATATATATATATATATATATATATATCACAGGGCAAAGACACCGGTTACAGCGGTTGTGTGAAGTACCACCTAAGGATCTCATAGAAAGCGTGAATGCAGCAGTGAGGGCAATACTACCACCACAATCACTGAAACCAATGAGCTGATATACACTTCAGCAGCAGTGATCCTAGAGATGCTTGGCTATAAGAGCAACCATGGGAGCCATGGACAATACCCACCATGGAAAAGACGGTTGGAGGCTAAGATCAAGGCGGCTCGGAGAGAAGTGAGTCAATTAACAGAGGCCCAGAGAGGTGCAATGAAAAGACCAGTACCCAGAAAGTACAGCCAGATGACCATACCTGAAGCACTCGAAACTGCCAAACAAAGGCTCCAAGCCCTGGCCAGCCGCCTACAGAGGTACACTAAAGAGAATGAAGCCAGAAGGGTGAACAGGCTGTTCGCAACACAACCTGCGAAGGTGTACGCTCAGTGGCAGGGTAACAACAGGGGAGCAGATCCACCGAGGCTGGAAACTGAACAGTTCTGGAGGAACATATGGGAGAAGGATGCAGCACATAACAGAAGTGCACAATGGCTGGTGTCCCTGAGAGAGGAGCACAGCCACCTCCCAGAACAGAACTCAGTTACCATCACAGAGGCAGACATCCGAGAAAGAGTCTCAGGTATGAAAAACTGGACAGCACCTGGCCCTGATATGGTCCATGCCTACTGGCTAAGGACACTCACATCACTCCATGAGCGCCTAGCAGCACAAATGAACCAGCTGCTGAGAGATGGGACTCACCCAGAATGGCTAACCGAAGGGCGAACGGTCCTGATCATGAAGGACCCTGTCAAGGGTGCAGTCCCCTCCAACTACCGGCCAATAACCTGTCTCTCCACAACATGGAAGCTCATGTCAGGCATCATTGCGGCTAAGATAAGTGGGCATATGGAACAATTCATGAGCACAGCACAGAAGGGCATTGGTAGGGACACCAGAGGAGCCAAACACCAGCTCCTGGTTGACAGAACAGTCGCCCAAGACTGCCGGTCACGACACACCAACCTGTGCACAGCCTGGATTGATTACCAGAAAGCCTACGACTCAATGCCACACACATGGATCATGGAATGCTTGAAGTTGTACAATATCAACAGGGCTCTAAGGGACTTCGTTGCAAACTCGATGGGAATGTGGAAGACCACCCTTGAGGCAAATGGCAAGCCGCTCGCACAAGTGACCATCAAATGTGGTATCTACCAAGGAGATGCTCTGTCCCCACTACTGTTCTGCATAGGCCTCAACCCTCTAAGCCAAGTAATTGACCAGACTGGCTATGGATACCGCCTCAGGAACGGAGCAAAGATCAGTCACCTCCTCTACATGGATGACATCAAGCTGTACGCCAAGAGCGAGAGAGACATCGACTCTCTGATCCAAACAACCAGGATCTACAGCCATGACATCGGGATGTCATTCGGGCTCGAGAAATGTAGCAGGATGGTGACTCGGAGAGGCAAGGTAGTCCACACAGAAGGGATCTCACTCCCAGAGGGAACAATAGCAGACGTTGAGGACAGTTACAAGTATCTCGGTATACCACAGGCAAATGGCAACCTCGAACAGGTGACGAGGAAAGCGGCAACTGCCAAATACCTCCAGCGAGTAAGGCAGGTCCTAAGAAGCCGGCTCAATGGCAAGAACAAGGCCCGGGCAATTAACAGCTACGCCCTGCCAGTGATCAGATACCCTGCAGGAATAATCAGGTGGCCAAAGGAAGAGATTCAGACCACGGATGTTAAAACTCGAAAGCTCCTTACCATGCATGGCGGGTTCCATCCCAAATCCAGCACCCTGATACTGTACGTAAGCCGTAAAGAAGGAGGCCGAGGACTAGTGAGTGTGAGAGCCACTGTCCAGGACGAAACATCCAAACTCCATAACTACATCATGGAGAAGGCCAAAACGGATGACGTACTCAGTGAATGTCTCAGGCAGTGGCGAGATGAGGAGGTGCTGGAGGAGAGCCCATCATGGGAGAACAAGCCCCTACACGGCATGTACCACCGGAGCATAACAGAAGTGGCTGATCTCAAGAAGTCCTACCAATGGCTAGAAAGGGCTGGCCTACAGGACAGCACAGAGGCACTCATCATGGCTGCACAGGAACAGGCACTGAGCACCAGAGCGATAGAGGCCCAGATATACCACACCAGACAAGACCCAAGGTGTCGGTTGTGCAAAGAGGCACCTGAGACGATCCAACACATAACTGCAGGGTGCAAGATGCTGGCAGGGAAGGCCTACATGGAACGCCATAACCAAGTGGCTGGCATAGTGTACAGAAACATCTGTGCAGAGTATGGGCTGGAAACCCCAAGGTCTAAGTGGGAAACTCCTCCAAAGGTGGTGGAAAATGAGCGTGCGAAGATCCTGTGGGACCTTCAGATACAGACCGACCGAATGGTAATGGCAAACCAACCTGACATCGTGGTGGTAGACAAAGGGCAGAGGACAGCCGTGGTGGTGGACGTGGCAATTCCAAGCGATGGTAACATCCGGAAAAAAGAACATGAAAAGCTTGAGAAATACCAAGGTCTCAGAGAGGAGCTGGAGAGGGCCTGGAGGGTAAAGGTGACAGTAGTGCCCGTGGTGATCGGTGCACTCGGGGCAGTGACCCCGAAGCTAGATGAGTGGTTACAGCGGATCCCCGGAACAACCTCGGACATCTCGGTCCAGAAATGTGCAGTGCTAGGAACAGCAAAGATACTGCGCAGAACCCTCAAGCTCCCTGGCCTCTGGTAGAGGACCCGAGCTTAGAGAGGGATAACCGCCCGCGGAGGGCCAAAGGTGAGTGGATTTTTTTTTTTTTTTTTTTTTTTTTTTATATATATTTATTTATTTTTATTTTTTTATTTATTTTTCATTTAACCAGGAAAGTACCATTGAGATTAACTCATTGATGTCAACATTGTTTTTCAATCTTTTCCTGTCCGTCTGTGTCTGTGTATCATATATGTCTGGGGTTTGGCTGTAGACAGGATTTTATTAAGCCAGCAGGTGGCAGCAGAGCTCTGTGGCTGTCTTGGTTAAAGATCACTGTCTGAGCACTCTGAGCAGGAGAGACAGAAGTGAAGCAGGAGGCAGTTTTGAGCAGTAAATGTGTCTCCAGAGCTGACGGACACCATGTGGAGGGTCAGAGCAGCAGACCATGTGGAGAGTCAGAGCAGCAGACCATGTGGAGGGTCAGAGCAGCAGACCATGTGGAGGGTCAGGGCAGCAGACCATGTGGAGGGTCAGGGCAACAGACCATGTGGAGGGTCAGAGCAGCAGACCATGTGGAGGGTCAGGGCAGCAGACCATGTGGAGGGTCAGAGCAGCAGACCATGTGGAGGGTCAGGGCAGTAGACCAGCGGTGCACACCAAAAAAAGCCACAGAAAAGTGGACTATTGCTAAAACTATCACTGAGTCCGCACCAGGAGCCAGCGACAAAGTCCAGTTATGGTCACAGCGCTCGCTGGACTAAACAGAACGACACTCTGTAGATGTAACCACACAAACACACACAAACGTGCGCATAAACGCACATATTGTACATACGCGCCCAAACACACAAAGACACACAACAGTAATCTATTGCACTTATAGTATAAGTTTATTGTCTGTTCACTTTGATTTATTGTCATTTATAGTGTTTATTATTGTAATTTTGCTTATCTCTGATTTACTCTTATTGACATGAATATAGCGCCACCTAATGGATGAATACTGGCCATTCTTTCTGGGATAGTTTTTCATGGGCTCTACTTTCAATGAGTACATTTTGAGGTTTTTTGGATGAGTACATTTTGAAATATTTGAACAATACTTTGTGGATGTGGGTGTGTGTGCCATGAAACATATTATTTTACATCAAAAACACTTTCTCAGAACTTGTTGTTGCCGTTTTCTAACATGTAAGATCCTGGACATGTTTGAGGAGATGCTAAAGTTAAACTTAATAGTGTCACAGTCACCTTTCTGCAGGTTCGTCTGTTTTTACAAACACCTCATTTTCTCAGCTTTTTGTCTCAGACTGGTGCTTTTTGTCACACTCCCCTCTTTTTGACTGGAGATCACAGGAGAACGAAACAAGCTAAAAACAAACGTCTTTTTGCTGCTGAAAGTAGACAGTCCAGTCTTTCAGACTCTGGTTTCATATTTTTCATAGCACACAATATTCTGAGAGTCTTGAAAATCAGTGAAGTCTTCAAAAATGGCTGGCAGTCAAGGAGAACCTCTTTTTCATGGGAGTCCTGTACAAAAATTGCATACAATTACAGATTATAAAACAGTTAGATACAGATTATAAAACAGTCACATACAATGTCATAAAATTACGGATTATAAAAACAGTTACATTTGACTGAAGATGTCTCAAGTCTCAATCTGGATCTGAAAGCATTCAATGAAACACAGTCAGATCATTTCCAGTCTTTTTGCAACACGTTCCATGTAGAAGGAGCAGCAAATACAAAAGCTTCTTTAGGAATGAAACCTCTGCCTTGTTTTTGATGAATACTTACTGTAGGCTTATTACGCTACTGTGTGGTGTTGGTCATTTGTGGTGGTACTTGGAGAGGCGGTCTTCAAAGCGGTCTGAAGACCCGCGGCTCTGCTTTGCAACTGGGGCCTGCTGGGGACGGAGAGCATCTTTACATTTACAACTTTTAATTTATTTATTTAGATAGATAGATAGATACTTTATTGATCCCCTGAGGAGAAACTCAGGTGTCCAGTAGCAGCAAAAATAAAATTGATCATTCTAAAAAGTTAAAAATAGTAATAATCAGCAACAGCTCTTCAGGTCACAGCAGCAGAGGTGGAGTAGCCTCTGGGTGGAGCAGGACAGGTCACAGCAGCAGAGGTGGAGTAGCCTCTGGGTGGAGCAGGACTGGACACAGCAGCAGAGGTGGAGTAGCCTCTGGGTGGAGCAGGACTGGACACAGCAGCAGAGGTGGAGTAGCCTCTGGGTGGAGCAGGACTGGACACAGCAGCAGAGGTGGAGTAGCCTCTGGGTGGAGCAGGACTGGACACAGCAGCAGAGGTGGAGTAGCCTCTGGGTGGAGCAGGACTGGACACAGCAGCAGAGGTGGAGTAGCCTCTGGGTGGAGCAGGACTGGACACAGCAGCAGAGGTGGAGTAGCCTCTGGGTGGAGCAGGACTGGACACAGCAGCAGAGGTGGAGTAGCCTCTGGGTGGAGCAGGACTGGACACAGCAGCTGAGGTGGAGTAGCCTCTGGGTGGAGCAGGACTGGACACAGCAGCAGAGGTGGAGTAGCCTCTGGGTGCAGCAGGACTGGACACAGCAGCAGAGGTGGAGTAACTGCTTGGTTCGGACCATTTTCTCTGCTCTAGTCCAAATTCATGCCTGGACCCTGGACAAAGCAGTTAAAGCTTTGATCCCCAACTTTTGCACATGTTCTCCACGTGTCTGTATAGGCTCCGGTTTCCCCCACCACTACAAACATGTGCAATGAGTTAATGATATGAATGTAATGAGTCACTGAATGAATGTCTATGGTTCAAACCTGTCCTTTAAAAAAAACTAAAAAGTAAAAGTACAGAATGATGTGGAGGAAAGGAAAAGAAGCCTCCGCCTTGTCTTTTCTGTGGGTGTGTTGTGTGTAGTATTAAATGAGTGAGAGCGATTGGATCCAAATAAGCATCTGCTTTGTCCAACTCATTTTCTGTATAAGGGTGATTTTCTCATTACAACCCTAGTGTTAAATTTGTACTAACTAATAGTGCCAGAATTCTTTTTATTTTTGTTTCCAGGGTAGCTGAAATCTTAAGAAAAACATACAGATAAATGGCAGTACTTCATTATTTTTTCTTTAATGTATAAGAAAAATATATTAGAAAAAATGTACTTGTTACCACGAAGTAAAAAGAGTTGAAGTAACGGTTTTGACACTTCTTCACTCTATCACAATGCTCGTTGCGGTCTTTCACAACAGAGAATCCAACAAACACAGCATGCACAGAACAACAACACGTAGGTCTAACTTCAAACAAGTCAGATCACTTCTGTCTAATGCAGAGGAACCTCCTCACACTGTGTCTGCCATGTGGCTGCACAAGACTCAAGCACAGATGATGAGTACTTATATGTCACAAGCACAGATGATGAGTACTTATATGTCACAAGCACAGATGATGAGTACTTATATGTCACAAACACAGATGATGAGTACTTATATGTCACAAACACAGATGATGAGTACTTATATGTCACAAGCACAGATGATGAGTACTTATATGTCACAAGCACAGATGATGAGTACTTATATGTCACAAACACAGATGATGAGTACTTATATGTCACAAACACAGATGATGAGTACTTATATGTCACAAACACAGATGATGAGTACTTATATGTCACAAACACAGATGATGAGTACTTATATGTCACAAGCACAGATGATGAGTACTTATATGTCACAAACACAGATGATGAGTACTTATATGTCACAAACACAGATGATGAGTACTTATATGTCACAAACACAGATGATGAGTACTTATATGTCACAAACACCACCGCACCAGACATTTCTCAGTTTGTTGGTCCTATGTTTTATAAAGAGTCTATAAAGTTGTTGTTTATTTTGACAGGCCTTGGCTAGGCCCTTTGTGATCCATGGCTTGTCCTGATTACTAACTTTAATAACATATTTCTTAAGTGGACAGTTCTTATATATTTGGTTAGAGTAAATAGAAAAGCATCATAGGCTCTATCAGGGTCTGGAGTTACGTACTTCCCCCCAGGTCTGAGCACATAAGTAAGTCAGCCTTGAAGGCTGCAATAGCTTCCGGTGTTCGATGTCTAATAAGTTTGAAAGTATCTGTTTTGGGACTGCTAAGCTGTAACTGGTAAAAAATGGGAAGATGGTCACTAATGTCATTAATAAGTATTCCTGAAGTGATACCTATGTTGGATTCCCATTTTTTTCTACCTTATCATTGGTTGGGTCAGTCAATATGCACCATCTATCTAGTAAGATGTAGATAATTCAAATTGACTGAGATTCTGGTCGGTTTAAGTATAAGTGATAAGAGTGTGTTACAATACATAGCGTTCATGAACTCATTTGTTTTCACATTATTCATAGGATTTAGGAGATTGATATTAAAGTCACCACATACTGTACAATGTGGATTTTATTTAGATTACAGAACTTTGGATTTTTTGGTTGAAAATATCAAGACATGGACCAGGTGTTCTGTACAAGCAGCTAACAACCATATTTTTAGGTTTTTTAATATGAATTTCAACGGTTAAGAACTCCAAAGTAGAAGAGGAACTGCAATATTGAGAGGGGACAAGGGCATCATTGAAATTTTTCATAGCCCAACGCCATGGGTGTCGTCCATCATAGCAACTCCAAAACCCAAAAATCCACCTGTGCATTGACATGTGCCTGCCAAACACGGCTGTCCAGAGGCACATAACACCTACAGTGGATGACATCATTCATGATCTTAACGGTGCAACTACCTTCTCAAAGCTGGACCTAAACGCAGGATACCATCAACTGGAACTAGCACCTGAATCCAGATACATGAGCACATCTTCCACACATGTGGGACTGAGGAGATATACAAGACTCATCTTCGGAATATCCAGTTTCCAGCGTACAATTCCAAACGTGCTGCATGGATAACCAGGAGTAAGAAACTTCAGTGCTGATTTCAGGGGCCACACATGCAGATCATGTTTGTTTCGTGGAGGCAGTCTTCGTGCGACTCGCTGAGAACAACCTCACAATCAATGAGCAAATATATCCATCCATCCATCTTCTTCCCCTTAATCCATTTCTGGGTTGGGGGGTTGGCAATCAGAGATGGACCCAATTCACACAGCACCAGCCCCTCACTGATCCTGAGGTGGCTGCTCTGTCAGTGAGCATAGCCTAGAAAAATATGTGTTCAACAAACTGTTTTTGGAATTCTACGGCAATGTTTTTTTAACTGAGAGCCACACCAGCATGGTCAACCAAATCGCTCTTTACATTTATAACTTTTCTTAAAAATTAATTTATGCCTGGACCCTGGAAAAAGCTGTTAAAGCTTTGTTCCCCAAGTTTTGCACTCAAGCCTCTCCCCTCTAATTTTAACCAAATCCCCCTAGTTCTAATCATACTTTTAAGGACTTTTTTGGTAATAAATCATTCTTAAACTTTTAAAACTGTTGTGATCCTTGTACCCTGGTGATCAGAACAGAGTTTGACGGCGTCACACTGTTGATCTATGGAACAGTCTATCTATTCAACTCAAGGGCTCAAGAACTATTAAAACATTCCAAAAAAAGTATAAGTTAAATATTATGGAGAAGTACAGGACAATTGAATTGGACTATGCTTAATAACTCGTGTTTATGGAAGTTCATGTTTTGTGCTTCATGTTACCATCGTTGGTATATGAGAATCTGTATTTTGTGTCACCTATAATTTTGATCGTGTATAACATAATTTTGATTTGTTGAAGTGCAAGTTTTTGGTGCTTCATGTTACCATTGTTGGTATATGAGAATCTGTATAATTTGTCATCTTTGGACGTATTTTCACATTGTATTTGGGGTTAGGCGGTATAAGTTTGGACTTCAGCCTAAACCCTTTCGGTCAAGTATTGTTTCGCACAAGGTCCTTTATGGACACATTTTGGTTCTTTTTTTTTTTTTCTTGTTGTAAGAATTAAATGTGATCTCTGTATCCGTGTGACCCGAGGTCGGGTGTACATATTGGCCGAAGAAAAAATAAACGAACTAACTAACTAACATGATACACGCTTCTGTAAAGCAAGTACAACAGTGTGAGGAATTTTTACAGTGCCCCGAAAGAGAAAATCACCCTCATTTTGTCTGAGGATAAACAAATCCTGTTTTTAATTGTTTTGTGAAAAGTTTGCACTCAAGTTTAATTATAAATAAACAAGACACAGCCGAAATAAGAACCATTCCTTTCTGCTCCACATTAATTCTCATGCAAATTGAATTGATAATACATTTGTATACATGTTATACGGTCCCAGCTGCTCCTCCCAGTGAGTCTGAATGCAAACTAAAGCGGTGCTCCTGTGTCTATATAAGGCCCATGTGAGTGTGTCCCAGTGATCTCTGCTCTGATGATGCTGTCTGTGGCTCTTCTGCTGCTGCTGGCAGCTGGATCCTGTAAGTCTCTCTTCACATCCAACTCTGCTACAAGTAAACAGTACAGTTTTATCCTCATTATTGTGTTCTGTTCTCCACAGGTGTGAAGAGTGAGACACTGACACAGGTGGCCTCGGTGACTGTGCAGCCAGGGCACACTCTCTCCCTCCCCTGTAACGTCTCCTACTCTTTAGGCAGCTACTTCACTGCATGGATCAGACAGCAGGCAGGGAAAGGCCTGGAGTGGATTGGAAGCAAATACACCGGAGCATCCTACTATAAAGAAAGTCTGAGGAACAAATTCAGTATTGATTTAGACACCTCCAGTAACAAAGTGACTCTGATCGGACAGAACATGCAGCCTGCAGACTCTGCAGTGTACTACTGCGCAAGAGGCACACAGTCAAACAAAGAATGACTAGAGCTGAACAAAAATAAGTCAGACTGTTGTTCCCTTCAGCCACCAGAGAGGGAGCCCTACTACATGAATCATGTTTAGTTTTGAATGACACCTAAAAATAGACACAGTCGAAGACAAAGACAGAGAGAATCTATATCACTATTTTAAATTAACCATTGACAACTAGTTGGTGCATTTATGTACGAGCTAAACATGCCGAGACAAACACATATTGACTACATTATGCATCAATGCAGAGTAGACATGGTTAAAACTATTATATTCTTTATCAGACAGACTTCTGATTGTATACACTGTCGTGCTCGGACATGCTCATCACACCTGCTCATCAGCAGATCTCAGATACTCAGCAAGGCTGGGCCTGGTCTGACTTGTGATGGGAGACCACAGGTGTATTCAAACACAATTCCACAGAACAAAAAACATGTACAGTATATGTCGCGGCTTAGGAATTACTTAACGCCTACTCACTATGATGTCAATTTAAATATATATAATACCAACAACGCCACCTTAGAATTTGGCCTAAGGAAACATGAAAAACGTTATCCCATGTTCTAAAGGTCACACAGGTTCGAAGTAACAAATAAAATCAATTTAAGAAACAAATACTGTTTTAAAAAGTGTCCACTACAGAAGCAAGTTGTAGACCCAACTTTAAAAAGGACCCACTCGGAAAAGGGTTGTAAACCACACTTGAAAAGAGTATTGTAGACCCCACTCGTGTTTGACAAACCGTCTGAAAGAAGCGCTCCGCACACGAGCTGTCCTGATCCTCGCTACGATCGCTCGAGAGATGCATTTTTCGCGGTGAGGGCGGGTCCTGGCTCAAAAGGTCCATGAGCACATACGCTGACATATTTGCAATCTCACCTCTAGCCGGTGGGGGTGTACCTGGAAAGAGAATTACCCAATGCTTTTTTATGCCTCCTTCTTTCCTCTCGAAAACTGCATTACAGGATGGTCCAAAAGTTGCATCAAAGTTCCAGATGTGTGTCGATGCTGAGGGGAGTATGCTTTTTTTGGACCAGTCTAGTTTAGCCGCGGTGGACTTTAGAATGCACTCATTAAATGAATGGGGCTGGTGCCGGCCGACGCATGTAAGAGGATCTAAGAAAATAAAAGAATCAGCCCGAGGCGCATGGGGCGATAGTGTGGTTCAAATTGCTCACGGCTTCTACTGATTTCCCTCTTTTTAGTGCTTTCACCACATTTCTCAAATTCTGTTTTTGTTAATGGTTGATCACAGTTCAATTTAAATTCTTCTGAAATAGTAGGGACAAGATTTTTCATAGAATTAATAAATGATTCAGATACATCAGGTTGAACTTTATAACAGTAGATATCTCTGTAGAAATGCTCAACATATTTGGACAGTAACTTTTGGTCAGACAACACTTTATCTCCTGATTTCAATGAGTGAAAATCCTTTCTCTTTCAATTTATTTTCCAACGCAAAAAAGTTTCAACCATTTTCTTTGTGATCTTATAAATGCTCCCTTGGCTGTGTCAATATAGAATTGATCAATTTCTTCTTTTAAAAGCTTTAACTTGTTTTTTACTTCTTAATTTAAATTAGTTTTAAGTAGCAATTGATTAAGATCATTCATTAAGCTGGTTTCTTTTTCAAATGTTCATCTTTATATTTTTTGTTAAAGCTAGTTCTGAACGACAGTACCTTGACAAAAGCACACACACAGGACTGAACATGGAGAGGCTGCATTTCAGATTCATGCTGCTAAAATCTGGAACAATCTTCCTGAAAGTGTTCCAAGCACGTAAAGAGAGGCGTACTAAGGGACGGGGAGAAGACGTGCAGGGGTTATTGGGCAGTCTCGGGGTGCTATCCATGTGTGGAACCGGCGCCCCCTGTGGCGGGAGGGCACAGGAGGAGCGCACAGTGGCAAACTGGGACTACCATGCTCCGGGAGTGAGACCAGACCGGGTCCGAGCCGCCTGGAGACCTGTATGCTCCGGGAGCCGCAGGGACTACGGCCGCACTTTTCCGCCAGCACAAGTATGAGCATCGACCGGATGCCTTCACTCTGGGGGACTTCTCTCTGTCCTTTTGCGGAGCTGAGTCCCGCAGACATCGGCCTGTACTCCATGCTTCCTCACCACCACTACTGCGGATCACAGGAGAGGCGCATCTTTAGGCTCACCGTGGGTCCCCCGACTGCAGCCAAGGGCCCTCGACCACAACGCCCCCCATCCAGAGGAAACGACCTGTCCTGAACCAAGTAAGACTACATCCAACATTTAACCCCTATGGTATTCCTCAACCATTTGGTGACTCCCTTTTGAGTCGCTTTTGAGTCACTATAGCCATGGGGTGCACATAACTTTTTTCAGTGAGGTTCTCAGATGAGTACTAAGAGATGGTGTTTTGTACTCAACACCAATTTGCGTCTGGTTTTAATGGAGATTTTATACTGCTTACTTTATGCGAAAGTTTAGATCAGCTCAGATAATCCAATCCAAGTCAAATAATACTCACAGGGGCTCTTTCCTTGTATAAAATGCAAAAAAAAAAAACAACAAATTTTCTGTTGATTTTGTTCACAACATTTTTACTTTTGAGCACAACCAACATTATTATGCATTATTAATGCAAGCTAAATGTAGTACCACAGCTGGAGAAACACGGGGAAAGGGCCTGGACACTCCCTTAAGGCTCCAGAGTCCACTCTGTTTCTCCAGTAACCAATAGATTTTATTATTTGCGTTCTCAAAGACACACACATGCAACAAGCCAGAATGGTCCGTGCTGTGTACAATATCAAGGAGCCGCTGTCAATTACAAAGCAGGCCGTAGTGGCTCCTGGAGTCAGAAACGCTGCTGCCACGGAGTATTTGGAATCCATTTATCAAGTACGTTCAGCAAACAGCAGCAAGTGCTCCGCGATCAACGCACACGCCTCCTCTGGCCATTGCACAACACCCCCCATGGAGGACTGGTCTATGGTAGTGCGCTTACTAAACTCAAGTGATAGTATGCATTTCTGATATTGTCGCGCATACGCGTACCTTGTGTACCACTTAAGTGCACCCCAGACATATCTACTTGAAGCTTGGAACTGAAATCTACCTGATTGGATTATCTTTTTCACTTTGTTTAGCACTCTTTTACCATTAAGCTGCATCTCAAACCATTCATCATACATCTACATCTTATGAAAAAAAACAAAGTTACCCAAACCCAAAAAAAACAAAAGTTATACATTGCTTTCTGTCAGAAGTGAACATAACAAGCGTTAAAGCCATCATATGCAGATTACTTTACTATTGAGTATCCCCTTAAAGCTGGGGTTCTTCTCATTGATGTTTCATACTCATACATCTGGTTTGACCCAACAGTAAAAATGTTGTGAACAAAGTCCACACCATGCTAGTCCTCATTGTACCTTTAGAAAAACATGTTGGCATAGTAAAAGAGCCGCTTGAGTGCACTTTTTGACCGTTTGCGCGGAGAGTGGATTGGAGCGTGGTTCTCTCTTGTTCTCATTCACACATTTTTTCTGTCTGAAAAAGAACCATAACTCAGACCATGGAACTAGTTACATGGATTTAATATAATAATTCTATTTTATGTGTTGTGAAAGTTGTGGTACCTTATTTTAACATTGGAGCAAACTGATGGATCATGGCACCATCATCCAAGAGAATTAAACCAGGATAATGGCAGCAGACGATTTTACTTTGCACCTGCAGTTCAGATACATTCACCCCACAGTGCCTTCCATTCAAAATATTCTCATCATTATCATAACAAGTGTTTTGGTTGATTTAAGTCCTCACGGCACATGTTACACTCCTTATTTCACACAAACGTACTTTAAAATTATATGTTTAAGATTTGACACTTATAAGGGATGGTTCAGATGTATCTATGGGCATGGTCACATAGGTTATTATTAACGAACTAGCCAAGTGGCCCGATCGTCACCACAGGGTTGTGAAAACGGCCCGCGGTCACGATTCTGTTTACATTCTGCTACTGTAGCTTAACAGCTCGAGTACGGATCGCGTTGTTAAGGAAAGAAACATCTCACACTTGTCCACATTACTCTGATGCAAAGTGGCAGCAGGTGTGTGTGTGCGTATGTGTGTGTGCGTGTGTGTGTGTGTGCGCCGCGGACATGAGAGCGCGCCGTGTGTGGCGTACAATCAGAGCGACCGGAGCCAGGCAGATACAAGTGTGTGTTGGTGTGTGCTGCCGATTAAAAAGACACTGATTCCGGAATGTCTGAAGTGTTATTGCAATAGCACCACACTGTGAGAGCGAGGGTCCAGAACAGAGGAGTTATTCCCTCGTAGAAACGCTTCTCTTTGGCCCTGCAGTGACACACTCCCCTGCGCCCTGTTATAGAAATATATACCCCATGAAGGAGGAAACTCAAAGGTCCTTTGTCTGATCAAAAGCGTAAGTTTATTGTTAACGCACAGTGCGAGGGCCAGCACATCCATCAATCAAAAGCAGCATGTCCCAGCTCTGAAGCAGAGCTCCGAGTTTCCTGTATACAGACACACACGAAATGACAGTCCCGCCCACAACAGAATGGGAGGGGGCCACCGTGAGGAGGCGCCTGGGGATGTAGGTGCGAACAGACAGACAATGGTAGAAAATGCAGGTCATACAGATCAGACCGCGAAAGACACAAGGTGTGACGAGAAGCAGGATGTAGAAAATGCACACATACAGACCGATAGCATATGCAAGAGGCGAACAGGGGGGCGAGAGTGAGACAGGTTGATTTACGCCTATTGTCTGTAGGTGGTCGGGGGACCCCGGTTCCTTCCTGAAGCAGGGACATATGAATAGAACCAGGCAGAGTTGCTCCTTCCTGGAGCAGGGAGATATGAATACTATTCGCTTGTGCCATCACACTCCTGTCCCGTGATAATGTAAAAACCATTTTGCGCATTAATCAGGTTAACTACCAAGGCATCGTAATCACACCACCTTCAAGCTTGAAACACTTAAATTATTGCTGTCCAAAGTGGACAAGAAAAGACACATGCGTGTCAATAAAAGAAAGAGCACATTATAATAACACAATGGATCCGGGACAGCGATAAGAGAAGGCAATATTAACATAATAAACACGGTCAGCACGGAAAGTAGTGTCAGTGTAGGCCAGCAAAACAGGGGGGGGGATCCAAGGGCCCATGCCGGTCTACGTTCGGTAGTCTTTCCGCGGGAATACTCATCGTGCATTGCCGTCTCGCAGTCAGTGGCACCGCTCACCCTATGAGCGTGTGTGGAGCAGTTGAGTGGTCCATGGCGATGTTTGGTCTTGGAGCGGCAAGACTCTATTTGCGTTTTGAAGCCTTGGCCATCAGCACTCTCGTTGGGGCAGGCTCGGAAGAGTGTGCTCGGTTTGGGGTGTGGCGACCATGGCTCTGAGCACGCACAGATCGGCCAGGCCCACAAGCTCATTTGATGGGAGACCTCATGACAGCACGCTTCACCATGTGCCCCCTTTCAAATCAGGAACTGTATAGAGCAGCCCCTCATCTCCACCCTCCTCCGGGGACACACGGGAGACGAGACATCCATGGGTGGCACTCCAGCACGAGCTCAAATCTGCATTATGGCCAGAGGGAACAAGCTCTGGAGAAATCTTTGGAATGGGCAGCAGCTCTCTGCATACTTGCTGCAGCTTCAGAGCAGAGCGCTCAGGGCCTTCATGGCTCCCAAGCCTTCGGATCCGCGGGCTGGGGGAGTTGGGCAAAAGGGGGGTCGCCTCGGGAACGCTGGGATTCTCTGGGATGTTGTTGGTGGCCTGCTTCACCCGATGGTGGCCGCACGCCAGCCCGTCCTTCTTCATCGTAGGGAGCCGGCGGATCTCATTTTTTCTCTTTTCAACTCCTCCTCCGTTTTGTTCGTGGAAAAGAGAGAGATCCGCTGGCTCCCTACGATGAAGAAGTCGAGGCTGGCGTGCGGCCCACCGTGCGGTGAATGCAGGCCAACAACCAACCAACCCAGAGAATCCCAGCGGTTCCCGAGGCGACCCCCGACCTTTTGCCCCAACTCCCCAGCCCCCGTATCCGAAGGCTTGGGAGCCATGAAGGCCCAGGAGCCGCCTCTGCTCAGCGGCAGCAAGTCGGCAGAGCTGCTGCCCCATTCCAAAGATTTCTCCAGAGCTTGTTCCCTCATGGCCATAATGCAGATTTGAGCTCTGCTGAGTGCCCCCCTTTTGTCACGACTCCTGCCCGTGTGTCCGGAGGCGGTGAAAGAGGGCTGCTCTAACAGTTCCTGATGAGGCACATGGTTAAGCGTGCTGTCATGAGGTCTCCCCATCAAATGAGACTTTGGGCCTGGCCGATCTGGAGCGTGCTCAATCCATGGTCGCCACAACCCCAAACCCCAGAGCACTCTGGCACTGCCCATCCGAGTGAATGAGGCCAAGCTATCAACGCAAATAGAGTCTTGCCGCTCCCAAGACCAAAACACGCCATGACCCCTACGCACCACCCACCTCATAAGGACGGTGCCACTTGACTGCGATGACGGCACTGCTCGTGAGAATTTCCCCGCGGAAAGACGAAACCGAACGAAGACCGGCATGGGCCCTTGGACTGTTATGCTGGCCACACTGACACTACTTACCTCCGTTCTGACCGTGTTTTATTATGTTAAATATTGCCTTCTCTAATCGTTGTCCGGATCCATGTTTTTATTATAATGGTGGCTCTATTCTTTATTGACAAAGCATGTTTCTTTTTTGTCCCCTTTGGGACAGCATAATTTAAGTGTTCAAGCTTGAAGGTGGTGTGACTTACGATGCCTCTGGTATTTTAACTGATTAATGCAAAAATGGTTTATTACATTATCACGGGAAAGGATGTTGTGGATGGCAAGCGACTAGTATTCTTATCTCCCAGCTCCAGAAGGAGCACCTCTGCCTGGTTCTATTCCTATGTCCCTGCTCACGGGAAGGAACCGGGTCCCCCGGACACTACAGGACAATGGCGTTAATCACTGCTCACTCTCGCCCCCTTCTCGCCTCTTGCATATCTATCGGTCTGTAATGTGTGCATTTTCTACATCCCTGCCTTCTCGTCACTCCCTTGTGTCCTTTCGCGTCTGCATCTGTATGACCTGCATTTTCTACCATTGTCTGTCTGTTCGCAACCTACATCCCCAGCGGCCTCCTCACCGTGGGCCCCCCTCACCATTTCTGTTTGGGTGCCGGGACTGTCTTTCGTGTGTTGTCTGTATACAGGAAACTCGGAGCCTGCTTCAGAGCTGGGACATCTGCTTTTGAGTGAATGTCTGCCCTCCCGCACTGAGCTTAACCAATAAACTTACGCTTTTTGACCAGACAAAGGACCCTTTGAGTTTCCTCTTCATGGGTATAATTTCTATAACAGGGCGCAGGGAATGTGTCACTGCAGGGACCAAAGAGAAGCGTTTCCTACGGAATAACTCCCTCTGTTCTGACCCTCTCTCACACATTGTGGTGCTATTGCAATAACACTTCAGACAATTCAGGAATCAGTCTTTAATCTCTCACGCACACACCAACACACACTTGTATCCTGCCTGGCTCCGGTCGCCTCTGATTGTCCCCACGACAGCGCGCTCTCATGTCCGCAAGGGCGCCAAACACACACAGCACACACACATACGCACACACACACCTGCTGCACTTGCATCAGAGTCCTGTGACAAGTTGTGAGATTTTCTTACCCTAAACAACGCGACTCCGTACATCGAAGCTGTTAAGCCTACAGTAGCAAATGTAAACAGAATCGTGGACCGCGGGACCCCTGTTTTCCCACAACCTGTGGTGACGAACCGGGCCACTTGGCCTAGTTCGTTAATGAGAAACCATCGTGACCAGCCCATAGATACATCTGAACATCCCTTATAATGGCAATCTTTAAACAAATTTTAATACGTTTTGGATGAATTAAAGGAGTGTAACAATATGCCGAGAGACTTTAAATCAACCAAACACTGTTATGATCATGATGAGAATATTTTGAATGGAAGGCACTGTGGGGTGAATGTATCTGAACTGCAGGTGCAAAGTAAAATCGTCTGTGCCATTATCCTGTTCTAATTTCTCTTCTGGATGATGTGCATGATCCATCAGTTTTGCTCAATGTTAAAAAATAAGGTACCCAAACTTTCACAACACATAGAAATCAGAATTATATATTAATCCATGTAACTAGTTTCCATGGTCTGAGTTTGTTTCTTTTTCAGGACAGAAAAAGAAGAACCAACGCTCCAATCCACCTCAAGCGCAAAAAACGTCCAAAAGTGACTCAGCGGCTCTTTACTATGACAAAAACAATGTTTTCAAAAGTAAAATGAGGACAGCATGGTTGTGGACTTTGTTCACTCAACAATTTTACTGTGGTTCAAACCAGATGTGAATAGAGTATGAAACTAAAGAGAAGAACCCCAGCTTTAAGGGATAAATACAAGATCAATATGAGGCTTTAACGCTTGACAGTTCACCTTCTGACAGAAAGCAATGTAAACTGTTTTTTTGGGTTTGGTAAATTTTTGTTTTTTTTTCTAAGATGATAGATGTATGATGAATGGTTGAATGCAGCTTAATGTAAAATTGCCCTAAAACCAAGTGAAAAGATATCCCAATCAGGTAGATTTCAGTTCCAAGCTGTCAAGTAATATAGTCCAGGGTGCACATAAGTGTACACAGGTACCATGGCGCACAAAATATCAGAAATGCATACTATCACTTGATTTAGTAAGCGCACTTCACATAGACCGGTCCTCCCTAGGGGGTGTTTGTGCCAATGCCAGAAGGGTGTCGTGATCGCGGAGTCACTTGCTCCTGTTTTGCTGAACGTACTTGAACAGGATTCCAAATCCTCCGTGGCAGCAGCGGTTCAGAATCCAGATCCACCTCCTCCGGCTGCTTTGTAAATGAAACATGCGGCTCCTTGACTAATGTACACAGCACGGACCAATCTCTGCTGTGTTGCATGTGTTGACTTTAGCGTAACGCAAAATAAATAAATACAATATGGTGTTACTGGGAGAAACCGAGCTGGACTCTGGACTTTAAGGGAGTGTCCAGCCCTCCCCGTGTTTCTACAGCTGGGTACCCTACATTTAGCCTTGCATTATTAATGCATAATAATTGTTGTGTTGTGCTCAAAGTAAAATGTTGTGAACAAATCAACAGAACAATTGTTGTTTTTATTTTTGCATTTTAAGAAAGAGCCTTGAGTCCATTAATTTGACTTGGATTGGCTTATCTAGCTGATCTAAACTTCAGCATTAAAACGGAAAAGAAAAGCAAGTATAAAATCTCCATTAAAACCACGCGCCAAATTGGAGTGAGACAAACACCATCTCTTTAGTAACGCATCTGAGACCGCTCACTGAAAAAGTTATGTGCACACCCTCGGCTATAGTGACTCAATAAGCGACTCAAAAAGGGATCGGACCAAATGGTTGAGAAACCCATAGAGGGTTAATAGTTGGAGTAGTCTTAGTACTTGGTTCAGCAGGTCGTTGCTCTGGATGTGGGGGCCGTGTGGTCGAGGGCTTGCTGCAGTCGGGGGTCCCCCACGGTGAGCCTAAAGATGCGCCTCTCCTGATCCCGCAGTAGTGTGTGGAGGAAGCAGGAGAACAGGTCCGATTGTCTGCGACTCAGACTCCGCAAAGACAGAGAAAGTCCCCCAGAGTGGAAGGCATCGAGTCGATGCTCATACTTGTCTCGGCGGAAGAGCGGCCCGTATCCCCTGCCTCCTCGGCCCCATACGACACCAGGCCTCGTCCCGTCTGGGCTCACAACTCCCGGATGCCTGGTAGTCCCCTGATCCACCTGCTGCTGCTCCTCCTGTGCCCCCCTCCCGAGGCCACAGGGGCTCCGGTTCACACCTGAAGCATTCACCGAGGCTGCCTCAATAACACCACCAGCACGTCTTACTCCCCGTCCCAGTACCGCCTCTCTTTACGTGCTGGCAATGAGATTTTTTATATCTGTAAGTTCGTTTCACATTGATACACTGTCCTCATCTCCCTCTTCATCATCAAAAAAACTGCAATATTATAGTCAAAAGCAGGGAGTCCAAACTTTGGAAGAACTGATTTATGTAGATAAAGTCGATCCAACTAGTTCCAAACTCAAAAACAAGTTCTAACAGTAGTGTTTCCACTGTGGAGTGTGTTTTTTTAGCAGCTATTTTCATACAGAAAACTAAACAAGTATTTCCAGCCACATCTCCAATCTCAACTATCATTCGTCAATTAGTGACTCACCAGGCATTTTCTTACCATTAATGCATAATATAACCCCAACTTCAGATATCTTGTGATCGGCTTTGCGTTTCTTATTTTTTTGTGAGAAATAAAAATACTCCAGCATTAAGATACTTAAATTTTTCTTGTAAATGTCTTCTGTAAATTAAATCATAATCCATCATCTATTTAATGACACTGGCAAAATTAACAATAATCTACAGTGAGTTTAGGTCTAATAATCTTTCCACTATTCCAATGTTTTTGTACTATATACTTCAAGTTTCTGTGTTATTTATGAGTATCCGTTCCCTGATGTTAGTCCTTGTGTACGTGACTTTGACTTTGAGTCGTTATATAGTAGAGGTTGGACCTATTTGGTGGACGTTGAAGCTGGATCTGGTGTTCTGGTGGACCTGCAGTAGTGGTGGTGCAGGTATTGCAGGTGAGACACCTTTGTCAGTCGTAACCACTCTGAACACATTTTCAGGTCAGAATCCATAAAGCTGAAGACAATGAACATTTCTGAGATCTTAGTGACAGATATAAATGTATGGTAACAATCTTTTCCATTCGACCCAACGAAACAGAAATGCTCTCGTAGCCCTTTGTGAGCTTCCCTTCATTGACGATTCCTTCTCTTTCTGGCTAGAAGCACTTTAAACCATTATTTAGCTAAAGACTTAGGCAAGAGAGGCGGTTCCATGGTTATTACCTGTTCATTTGGCTGTAATCTCACACCAATTTGGCGTACAAATCGATCTATCTACTTCAGAATGTCCATAATGTTCCTAATAAATCTCATCAAATGGTTCACTTCATGTCCTCAACTGCCTGTTCCATTCCTTCTGATTATAGCTAACATACATTATCTGGCTGATAGTATATTTTTATTTTCATAGCGCTAAAACACCCTTGTTTTTTAACTTCCATACAATCAACCTAAAAAGCTAAAATCATTTACAAATAATTTTACTATATGTGCGTGTGTGTTTATGTAAATGGAAAGATGACCATACAAAACACAATATCTTGGAGTTCAGGGTTCCTCGCCTGTTCCCACAATAACCATCAGCATTATGTAATTAACTGCTAAAAAAAAAATGTCATTGCTAGCTCAGCACAGTAGCTTCTGTTATTACCGTTTTAGTGGTCTTAATCAAAAAAAAAAAAAAAATGTATAGAAAAATTGCCATTGAGGAGTCAAAACTTTGGAGTATTTAAGCAGCAGCCACTGAAAACATAATCTATAATAATAAATAAAATACAGTGATGTTTGGTCTTACTGTTGATGACGATGGAGAAAGTTCCCCTCGTAAGGCCACCTCAGAGAGAGACACTCGGAACGCGCCCTTGTTGAAGCTGTTGTAGACCTCAGCTGCTTGGCTCCAGGGGACATGACCCAGGACCCTCTCTACAGAATACTCAGGGCTGGTTGCGGACACGTCCCAGTGCACACACGCGCTGCGCTCCTTCAGTCTGTCCTGGGTACCACGACACCATCCTGGGGCTATCTGCAGGTAAGCACGGCCGAGAGCCACCGGGAGGGTGATGTTCCGGGCCTCCAGACCACCACACCTGTGGCCGGGAGCTGCTTGCCCTGGGCCCAGCACTAGTTAAGCACCACACAAAACACATTATTTTGGTATAATTTCAGAAATGTGAGGAATATAGAACCACATGTGTCCACTGTCGCATTGTCTCATATATGAGGCTAAAACATAGATGTATACATACCAATATATATTTTCTTGCACTAGAACAACAGTTTTTATACCTTGCTTCATTACTGATGCTAAAGTTAGAGATTTTTATTTTTTTTATTTTTAGGCAAAGTTATGTGTTCATTTTAATCTTGTGTGTGTGCTCCTCATTCTGTGTCTGGTCACAGCAACCTGACATGTCCCTCAGAGGGACCAATAAAGGAATAGGTGGAGTAGGTTTTGAAGGGGATTTGAATAAAAAAAATGAAAATATAGGTGACATTGTGCACATTTTTAAGCATTAAATGTACGACAAAATCCAGATTTTTAAGGGTTTAAAAAGCCCTGGAACATAGTCGACCATATACCACAGATTGAAGATCATAACCATTTAATCGTATTGGACAATTTCTTCTTCCATTGATTATTAATTCTTTAAGTCAAATTATTACTCTATTCAGCAAACCGATTTAATCAACTCGGTACTAGTGAACTGTAAGAAGAATTAGTACTATTCCAGCTCTAGCAAACACTGAGACACAAGTGCATGTCCACATCGCTGGACAAAGTAAATGACGGACTTTAGGACCTGAAAGGGGGAGTCTATTGTAGATATTGTATTAACCTTATAAAAGATCACAGCAGACCACACTCTTCAATAATAATCCTTACAGAATAAATGTAATCAAAACTTAAATAGTCTTTTATGGACATTCAAAGAACGTTTCTTTACAAAACACATAGAATACACAATGAAAAACAAATTAAAAGGAGGCAAGGCAAGACAAAAGTGGGAATTTGAGAGAGATTTAAAGTACTGAGTAAGTCTGAGTTACGATTGGTTGAAAAGGTGTTAGTTCCAGAGATGTGGGGGGGGCGCTGCCGCGAAGCTCGGTCCAACAGGTTCGGGATAGTATAGAATAATTTTTCTGTAATTCCACTATGAAATGTGAAAACCATACACACCAGAGGAGATTCATCACCATGCAAAGACACAAATGCCATGTCTTTGTTGTAATTTTGGAAAATATATGTAGTCATGCGGGGGTAGAATGGTAGAGAGAGCGATAATGAGTTGGGTTGAGGTCGATTTCATACCATCAGGCAGAAAGAACAACAGCAAAAACAGAAAGAGAAGACAAAAACAGCAATAATTAATATTTGAAAATATCAACCCAACAATAGCCTCAAACTAAAACTCAAACAAGTTTGTAATTCATTTGTAGTAATCAAAACTTTTTTTGGAAATTGGCTGAAGTATGAAGAGTTTGCATATTTGACCTCGAGCGCATCACAAGAACAATATCTGGTGTGCACAACCTCTAGAGGGAGAAAAAAAGTGCACTTAAAGATGACGGCAACCTAACTTTTTATGAACCCATAAATACATGTATTGTCCCAAACCGGAAGAGAACATTAAATGATGTGAGCAAATGTTGTCCTATGCGTCATATATACTTATTTGAAACACCTATATTACATGCTATTTATATATATAAGAAAGAGCTTTGAGACTCAACTATTTGACACTTTGAGCTGATCAGAGGAAAAGGGTGACCTCTCATTATAAACCTTTTCTGTCTGACAAAGAATGTTGAAAAGATCAGACAGAAGGCCAAATAATACTGTACCTGCCTGTTAAAAACTAGTGATATTAGAGTCTAAGTGTTCATAGCCAAAGAAGATTACAATGGATCTCAAATAGAAAAAAGATTTCAATTAATAGTCAGATTAATAGTCATTATAATTTCCCACAGAGCTGTTTAGTTTTTGAATACTGCCACAAGGGGAAGACTTCAATCAGCTTTGAGTAGCATAAGTCTTTATATAAATGTGCCCGAATATCAATATTTCTTCTTTCTTGTGGTTTTTGTCTTTTCATTTGAGTCTGCAATGAGAATGTGGCAATAAAACTTAAAGTCAAACATTTCTACAATCCAGATGTTATAATCAATCTACAGACATATACAAACATAACTGTGGCCTTTTCATTAGTGGCACATCATTGTTGCAGACCAGAAAGCTTCAATCTTGGTGGGTTTTTCTACTGGAGATCGTTTCTTCTTTCTCAAGTGGAAGGTAAAACAAAGTAGCAGACCCTGTAATTTGCCCCCATTGCCACTCTCCAGAGCTGATACTCAAGGCTGTTCCTAATTTGACGACTTAACAATGTGCTTTTGGAGCTGCGCCTGGCATAATAACACACATTTAACCAATTCCTGCAATAGCAATGCGCATTTGGAAACTGGAGGTCACTTTTAACACTCCACACTAAACATTATGTGAGCCAGGGGAGAGGGCCATTTTTAACCATGATACAACATTGTTTCCCATCAAAGCAGACCTAAGTCGTTTCCTAGATCATCGAAGTAGAAATTGGGAACGTCTGGTCAACAACATGTACTCGAGGCCCTTCTGTCAAAAAGATCCTGTCATAGTATGATGTCCCATTGAACTACTATGACATCATAATCCCTGAGCAATTTTCTGCTTCTTAAAAACAAAAGTACTTTCCCTTTATTAGTTTTTGTCAATGTCCTATGAAATTACATTAATCACGATCACGTCACAAACCAAAAATCATTTCAACACACACACTCTATACTGTATGTAATAGGAACGCAGATCCTACTCCTCCCTCTTGTGGTAGCGAAGAGAAGGGCAGGCTGATAGCATGATACAGCCTTCATACGTAATATTTTTGACTTGAAGAAATTATTTGCATTCTAAAACGTGAAATGAATAAATAAAAAGTCTCATTGACATTTTTAATAGGCCAAAAGATATTGTATATACAAGTCATCTTTAAAACAAAATTAATAGCCACAAAAATCAGTGTTTGTCAATTTCTTAATGGAAATGAGTCCCCTGGACAAACTTTTTCAAATTTGGAAAAGAATTAAACAAATTTTACTCCTGCCCTGGTCTTGGCATGGGGAATTACAGGCGGGAAGCATTTTTATTCAGATTTTAATTCAGATATATAATGACGAAGTGAATACCCATTATCCTATGTAATTGGCCAAAATAATGGCCTCACATTTCTCCTTTAAATTCCTGATTTGGACTTGTTTTTGTCCCTCGCTCTCTCATCAGCAGCTTTTACGGATGATTTGGGGGAATTCAAAGTTTGCTCACAGCTTAGTCCTCTGCGTACAGACAAGTCTAAGTGCAATATCAGCTAAAAGCAACAAAGATCCATTGAAAGGTCCCTGGAGATTTCTACTCTCTCTAGAAACAGCAAGTTTCGTTCTACAGCCTTGATCCACATAAACAGAATAAAGCATGTACCAATAGTAGGCTGATACTGGAGTGAACGACAGCCTCTTACTCTAATCATTAGAACAGTAAGCCTAATCCTTAAAGGTGTGCAGGGCGGTAATTGCACCCTCATTAGCAGACCTCTGTGGTGAGCACCCCACCATACATAATGAGGCCTTTAGGATTGTGGCTGACTCTGACCGCATTTAACCGGGAAACATATTGGGACCCGTGCCACAAAGCCCAACACATCACAACCGCACCGAACAGCCTGGCTTCATCATTATACATGGAATATAAAGAAATTTGTTTTTAATACCTTATTTGTATTTCATTTTTAAAATACAATCCCAACCACAATATATAACGCACACAGAAACAAAAAGGGAAAAAAAACAAAACTAAAATATGTTGGGACACACCATATATTACTCTAGAATTTGTAAATAATATATAATGAATACAATTGACAGAAAAGGTACAAAAAAGTATAAGTAATACAGTTTGAAAGGGTTCAAATTACATTAATTAATGAAATAAAATGTATTTAGTACATAATCTTGCTCTTGTTTCCAATTCTTTAAAATTTTACCTGGGGTCTATAAAAAAAAAAGTTTGAATAAGTTGACTTAAAGTTGGTGTAACCAACTTTAAAAACCCCAAAATAACGCGAACCTCACTCAGCCAATCAGCTCTTAGCTCAAGCTTCAAAATAGTAGACTATTCTACCTTAACAAATAACAGCAAAAGATAAAAAGATAAAGACAGCAGGTTGTGGTATGATTTGTTCACAACAAAACTCACACGAAATACTATTAAAATACTAGACAATAGAGCGCAGACAAGCATTTTTGATGGGTAACAAAATTTGAAAAGGGTCAATTCTGCAAGAACTTGGAAACCTTGACAGCCACGTAGTACACTACAAATGGCACTCGTTTCCAAAAGTCCAGTGTGTTCATTAGACTTACTGTGAAAAAGCGTCATGTCGAGCTGGCTTGTGAAGAGCTTCAGACAGAGACGCAGAACCACAAAGCGCTGCGGCTGCAAACACATCCAGCTGTTTAATTTTATCCACGGTCCACATGCGCCGCCCTTTCACTGAAACCCAGCACGGACCCCAGTACAGACGCAACTCGCAGCAGTAGTTTGGACTTTTACCTGCCGCGAGATCCACCTCTAGCACTATAACAACACACACCGACGATCAGCCCCACGTCTTAAATATTCAAACTCTAGATAACTCTGTAATGCACCATGTTTTCAAAATGTGGAGTCCGTGGACAAGCCCCAGTGGCAGTATAGAAAGTGTCCTGGATTTTTTGGTGGTAATTCATTTTTTCTATTGCTGGTTCAAGAGGCCCACAGTAAATAACAGAAAATACACGATAACAATAGAAATATGACTGTATTTTTCACAACATTTATGATGAAAATCCTGATCAAAAACGTATTATTATTATTTGCGTCTTTCACCTTGTTGCCATGCCAACCCACAAACTGGTCCAATCATACCAACAGGTTATATTCATAAAAAGCATCAAAAATCAATCTTAAAACAAGATTAGATTTTATTCTTTAAACTAACAAGTATTTTAAATGACTAAATGATAGAACGTATATGGTGAAACAAGTATGAAGGATTTAAGCAAAGGAAGGTTTCTCACCCATCATCTGTACTTCTTAGCAAGTTTTCCCGACGTTTCGTCCTCAAACTAGCGGACTTCTTCAGGGAATGAATTCTCGGACCGCGCGTTGGAGATTTATAACCTATGGGTGTGGTTAGCCACACCCTAATCCTGATACTAACTCATAAACTTAAAATTAACAAATAAATAATCAAAAGTTTGGGACAAAAATAAACATAAGATAAAAGTAAAGCATAAAAAGGGGAAATATAAAGTATCCACCCACGACAGTAGCTCAGTTGGTAGAGCATTGGCCTTATGGCCAGAAGGTTGTGGGTTCAATTCCCACCTCTGCACCTTCTCCACCGACTCCCACTGATGACTGCTGTCGTTGTGTCCTTGGGCAAGACACTTAACCCCACTTTGCCCAAAGCCCCACTGAAAGATCAAGGCTATGCTCAAACTCAGAGAGCAGCTCCTCCTGTGGACTCACCACCTGCAGAGGGTCAGTGAGGGGCTGGTGCTATGAGACTTGGGTGGCATCTCTGATTGCCACCCCCCTGACCCAGAAATGGATTAAAGGGTAGAAAATGGATGGATGTTTGTGCCATAAATTGGCGAGTTTGGATGGATCTAAAAACCACACCAGGTCAATGTTGTGACATGTTTAACTGGAGAAAACTGTGATTTGTGATAATGTCTCCTTTAACCCGAACCTTCCCTAATCATTCTAAGCTTGAATTGTACTTGATCTCCACAGTGGTCAAGTCTCTGAAACCTCCCTCCATATTCATGCTGCCCCCTTTAAAACAAACTAGGGAGGGCGTTGTGACTCTAACCTGCTACATAAAAGATTTCTACCCAAAAGAACTCTACGTGTCGTGGCTGATTGACGATAAGGACGCCACACACGACTTCAGAACCACCGGCAGCATGGAAGCAAATGGCGCCTTCGAGGCCTACAGCCGCCTGAGCGTGCCCCTGAGCGAGTGGGACGTCCCAGAGCGGGCGTACAGTTGCCTGGTTCACCACGAGTCCGTAGAGCAAAACAAAATCTACGTCAGGTCCATCACGCAGAACTCTCCGCAGCAGACAACCATGGTCAACCTCAACATGCGGATCTCGGACCGGTGCAAGGCCCAGTAGACCTGTGTCTCTGTGTTGTGTCTTTGTCTGTGCCTCATTATATATTCAATCAATAAAAATCATCAGCAAGTATTATGTGTTGATGTCTTATGTCCTCTTTGGTGATGTCATGTCTTGTTTTGCATGCTGACAGATACAATACTGAATACTAAAATACTATACACATATTTATTATTATTATTTTTCCATAAAAGTCCATTCTGTTTGCTTGTGTCCCTGTGTACTGTCTGTTTGCTCTACTGGATCTTGCACTGTACCAGGGTGTTATTCCAATATAACGTAGAGAAACTTTATATGTCTCACAATGAAGAAATGTCAGTCTAGAAATGCAAAGTGCAACGTTGAATAAATGTGATGAAATTGCAGAAACATAACATGAAGTAACACGAGTAATAACATCTATTTGGAATAAAGTTATTACAACATTACTAATATGTAAGGAGGGTTCTGCTTCCGCCCTGAAGGTACTTATTTTCCGGTGATTATTGTTTTGAGAGGTCCGTTATCAAGAAATAATCAAATCAAATAAATTTTATTTGTGTTGCCCAAAATCACAACAACAGTCGTATCAAGGGGCGTCACAGAACCGCCAACTCCCAACGGCTGTGGACCAGTCCTCAGGTCCAGGGAGTCAGGGTTTCGAGTCCCACCAGCGCGTCATGACAAATTTAAGCATTTACAACAAATTAACTGTGAAAAACGAGAACTATTTCTCCTGTATCCTGCAGTCCGTGGATATGACGGGTTAAAAATATATATATTAAAGAAGACAGTTCGGGAAAAGTTTGGGAAAAGTTTGGTGCTTCATTTAAAGTGCAGTCACAACAGTGCACTAAACAGTTGTGTATGTGTGTGTATGGTGCATTATGGTGCATTAATGACCAGTAGAACGTTTTGAAATGACATTCAAATCAATGGAGCGTTCTACTGCTGCTGTGAGGAGCTGTGTAATAAACTAATTATAATTAATGTACTTATAGCTTGTACTGTCTCTCATTTATGCAAATATATTTATCTGTGTTGTAAATATTGTCCTATACTTGGGCTATTGCACTGGTTAGACGCTAAACTGCATTTCGTCGCATTGTTCTGACTTTGGAATGACAATAAAGTTGAATCTAATCTAATCTACAAAAATTAAAGCAAACATTTAAAAAAAAAAAAATTTAAAATAAAAGAAATACACTTTTATTTTGGTAAAGTGAATCTAATAAAAATGAGATGAATAGGTTTTATTAATCCATTCTGTCTGTTTGCTCTGTTGGATCTTATCAGGGCTGTTATTTAAAACATATAGAAACACCTTATTTGTCCCGTAAAGAGGAAAGGTGAAATATAGAATTGAAAAATATTAGAATAATTCAATATTAGAAAATGAATATAAAATTGTAGAAAAAATATAATAAAATATATCTGGAATAAAGTAAGGTTACAATATTCTTTTTCTTTCTTTTTTTAAACTAAAAGAACTTTATGAACTCATGACTTGGTGATAATGGAGGGTTTGGCTAACTGAATGTGAATCTAATAAACCATAAACACTTACAGTATATGAGATAAATACCACTGTGTCTTCGTGTCAACAGGGTCCATAGTTCTCAAATTAAACTTGTGAAAAAGGTTGAGTTATGATTTATAAAAGTTGCAGCTCGGACAGATACCATCACTTTATTACTCGTTCAAACCAGAACTTTGGAACCAGGATTTCCTCAGTTCCCGGCTTTGGGAATAAGTTGGCTTTGGGATTAAGGATGTTCACACTCGGCCTCCAAGATGAATTTTAATTTGATTTCATTTCATTTAATAAATCCTGTATTTGTTTCACATTTGGTAAATGTCAGTGTTGCATCATGGGGTTTATTCACTGCAGTTATTTATTAAATATATCATTTTCCCATTTTGCTTGAATTTTGCAAATGTATATGTGTTTATGTATTAAAAAAAGAATGAATTTCACGTTTGTCCCCAGACCCAGACTACGTAGTGGACATGATAGAAATGTATCACAGATGGAACCCTGAGCAGCTGCAGGAGGAGGACAGTATGCAGAAAACAGCCATGGCCTTCATCCTCCTCTTCCTCATCACTCTGCTCTTCAGTGTCGCCACCACAGCCGTCAAGGTAAATATAATGTACCTTGATAATATAATAATAATAATAATATAATATTAACTGTAAGTACCAGGCGCACAGTCCAACTTTACACACACTGAACAGAAACATAAACACTGCTTTGTTTTTTCATCAAACAAGACCAAACTCTGTTTTTACCTTTTCTAAGAAAACACAAGATCATCTTTTATTTGTCCCTCTGTGGGGAAATGTCAGTGTTGTGCACATGACAGCAGAATAGGGTTAGGGTTAGGGTTGAAAAGGATATAAGAGATGCTGTTCACTAATCTGTCTAAATCTGTTTCTGTGAGCACTTCTTTACTGAGACAATCCATCCCACATCACATGTTCTACAGATCTGATGTGGGACGTGCAGTTTGCTCTGAGAGGTCGATCCACTCATCTTCAAGGACTGTGAGAAGTTGGTCATAAAAGTCACTTGTCTTGTATCATGGTCAGACTGCACATGTGTGTGTTCATGCACATGTGTGTGTTCATGCACATGTGTGTGTCCATGCACATGTGTGTGTCCATGCACATGTGTGTGTCCATGCACATGTGTGTGTCCATGCACATGTGTGTGTCCATGCACATGTGTGTGTCCATGCACATGTGTGTGTCCATGCACATGTGTGTGTCCATGCACGTGTGTGTCCATGCACATGTGTGTGTCCTTGCACATGTGTGTGTTCATGCACATGTGTGTGTCCATGCACATGTGTGTGTCCATGCACATGTGTGTGTCCATGCACATGTGTGTGTCCATGCACATGTGTGTGTTCATGCATATGTGTGTGTCCATGCATATGTGTGTGTCCATGCACATGTGTGTGTCCATGCACATGTGTGTGTCCATGCACATGTGTGTGTTCATGCACGTGTGTGTGTCCATGCACATGTGTGTGTCCATGCACGTGTGTGTGTTCATGCACATGTGTGTGTTCATGCACATGTGTGTGTCCATGCACATGTGTGTGTCCATGCACATGTGTGTGTCCATGCACATGTGTGTGTTCATGCACGTGTGTGTGTCCATGCACATGTGTGTGTCCATGCACATGTGTGTGTTCATGCACGTGTGTGTGTCCATGCACATGTGTGTGTCCATGCACATGTGTGTGTTCATGCACATGTGTGTGTCCATGCACATGTGTGTGTCCATGCACATGTGTGTGTCCATGCACATGTGTGTGTCCATGCACATGTGTGTGTCCATGCACATGTGTGTGTTCATGCACATGTGTGTGTCCATGCACATGTGTGTGTCCATGCACATGTGTGTGTTCATGCACATGTGTGTGTTCATGCACGTGTGTGTGTCCATGCACGTGTGTGTGTCCCTGCACATGTGTGTGTGTCCATGCACATGTGTGTGTTCATGCACATGTGTGTGTGTTCATGCACATGTGTGTGTTCATGCACATGTGTGTGTTCATGCACATGTGTGTGTCCATGCACATGTGTGTGTCCATGCACATGTGTGTGTTCATGCACATGTGTGTGTCCATGCACATGTGTGTGTCCATGCACATGTGTGTGTTCATGCACATGTGTGTGTTCATGCACTGTGTGTGTTCATGCACGTGTGTGTGTCCATGCACATGTGTGTGTTCCATGCACGTGTGTGTGTCATGCACGTGTGTGTGTGCATCATGCACATGTGTGTGTCCATGCACATGTGTGTGTCCATGCACATGTGTGTCATGTGTGTTCCATGCACATGTGTGTGTGTCCATGCACATGTGTGTGTCCATGCACATGTGTGTCCATGCACTGTGTGTGTCCATGCACATGTGTGTGTCCATGCACATGTGTGTGTGTCCATGCACATGTGTGTGTCCATGCATGTGTGTGTCCAGCATGTGTGTGTCCATGCACATGTGTGTGTGTCAGCACATGTGTGTGTCCACGCACACGTGTGTGTTCAAGCACATGTGTGTGTGTCCACGCACACGTGTGTGTTCAAGCACATGTGTATGTTCAAGCACATGTGTGTGTGTCCATGCACATGTGTGTGTTCATGCACATGTGTGTGTTCATGCACATGTGTGTGTTCATGCACATGTGTGTGTTCATGCACATGTGTGTGTTCATGCACATGTGTGTGTTCATGCACATGTGTGTGTTCATGCACATGTGTGTGTTCATGCACATGTGTGTGTCCATGCACATGTGTGTGTTCATGCACATGTGTGTGTTCATGCACATGTGTGTGTTCATGCACATGTGTGTGTCCATGCACATGTGTGTGTTCATGCACATGTGTGTGTTCATGCATATGTGTGTGTCCATGCACATGTGTGTGTGTTCATGCACATGTGTGTGTGCATGCACATGTGTGTGTTCATGCACATGTGTGTGTCCATGCACATGTGTGTGTCCATGCACATGTGTGTGTTCATGCACATGTGTGTGTTCATGCACATGTGTGTGTCCATGCACATGTGTGTCTCCATGCACATGTGTGTGTTCATGCACATGTGTGTGTTCATGCACATGTGTGTGTTCATGCACATGTGTGTGTTCATGCACATGTGTGTGTGCATCTGTGAGCTGGGATGGATTGTCTCTGTAAAAGTGAAGTGCTCACTGAAACAGATCTGTGAACTATATCTGACAGATTCTTCCTCAGTGTAGTTTGTAACTTTGGTTATTGTTCTGTGAACAATCTTTCATCAGTAGCATTTTGCTGCCGTTCTAACAGAGTCTTTTATTTGTTTGTTGCTGTGGAGCAGCTGCATTATTTTTATTTGAAAGAGAAACCATGTGAAACCAAGTGCATTACCAATATTATTCATTTTAAAGGAACAGTATGTCATATTTTCATTCAGAGCAGTTTTCTGTTTTAAAAATGTGACTATTTAATGAAAGTACATTCTCAGCTAAAC